AGAGAGAGAGAGAGAGAGAGAGAGAGAGAGAGAGAGAGAGAGAGAGAGAGAGAGAGATGTAGATCTATCTATATATATGTGTGTTTCCATAAACCAATATACTTATACCAGAACATAATTCAGGCATTAAGTTAACGTTTTCGCATTTCCATATACACCTGCTGTTCAGTCATCCCATTGAAGTATGCTTTACATTTTCTGTAAACCCTCAGGGCTTGTTCACACGAAGCGCGGAGCAGATCCGGACCAGAGCAGGTGCAGACCGGATCAAAACTGCTTCCAATGTATTCCTATAGTATTTTGACCTCCAGTTCACAACGCAGCGTGCGGATCCAGACCGGATCCAGACCAGATCCAGACCGGATGAAAAAAATGCGGCAAGCCCTATTTTACCTGCTCTGGATCTGGAACGCATCAAAAACGCATCTAAAATGCAAAAACGCATCAAAAACACATGCAAGTGCCTGAAAGTCCATGTTAAACTTAAAACATTATTTTTTTTTTACCAAAACCGGCCCTAAACGCATCAAAAACGCGTCTAAAACGCGGCACAACCCACTACACTGCGTGTGCAGAAACCTGACCGGATCTGGTCTGCATTTGGTGTGAACAAGGCCTGAGGCTCATTCACACTTGGGACGTGCTACATTTTTGCACATTTGTCGTACATTGCACATAGGGCAGCCCATTCATTTCAATGGGCTGCCCTATGCGCAGCAAAGAAGCTAATGCACCTTTTGGAGCTTTAAACTTTCCTCATTTTCGAACTGCATTTTTTGTGCATGCGTTAGTCATCTGTGCATGCAAAACACGTCTTTCTTTGTTCATTTGGCAGTGCCATTACCAAAGAGTGGTACCACAGGGGTGATGCAAGTTTTCTCCTTGCTTGGTGCATTTGGCGGTGCCATTACCAAAGAATGGTACCACAGGTGCGATGCAAGCTTTTCCTCCGTTTCAAGAAAGCATGCAAAATTGCAGGATTTTGGGCATATTGACACACTATACTAGTGTGAATGCAACCGTAGTTAGTGGTCTACAGAAACAAGCAAATTAAAATTAAAGAGGAACTCCAGGCAGGCATTTTATTAACTCTTGCAGTAGGGCTACCCCCGCACTGCAAGGGTTAACTGCTCGTTTTTGCCAAGGGCCCAAAATTAAAAACTTATACTCACCTTATTCTCAGAGCCGGCATCGTTCCCTTAAACCTGTCTCCACAGCAATGGCATGTCCCTCTACATCCTCATATTCTATACAATGTCTATAGAACATGATAACTCAAGGATTCCTAGACGGCTGCAGCGAAGGGGGAGAGATGCTCCAGGGATCGGTCTAAGAGCAAGGCAGCTCCGAGGATGAGAGGAGTATAACTATCCTAGGCAAAAACAAGCACTTAACCCTTGCAGTGCGGGGGTAGGCCAACTGCAAAGGTTAATAACATTTCTGTCCAGAGTTCTTCTTTAAATAATCGTCTACACCTTTGTCAGAACGATCAATCTTTGGACCTTCAATTTTTTTATTTTTTTATTACATCTCAATTTTAGCAGAACTTTTTTTTTTCAGTATAATCCTAATTGGAAGATTTCCTCATACACATGCACACAGAAGTTTTGTTTTATAGCATTGCGTGTGTGTGTATTTTGCAGGTGTGTTTATCTTCACAAGGTTATTCATTTTTAATTGAATGATGCAAAACGCTGCACCGATGAGGAATTAACTTTAAAACTCTGACGTGCTCAGTCTCCATAATTTTTTTATATAATTTATCATGCAATAAGATACCTTCTGGACTCCCCTTGTGACGTGTTCTTACTACGCGCCCTTACTACGCGCCCTTACTTTTCTGAAGCCCTTACTATGTTTTACATAATTGGTTCTTTCTCAAGCCCCCCCCTCCTCATGTTGGGGGAGGGCTTTTGTTACATTGGAGCAGCCTCATTGAAGACATTCAACTTAATAAATTAGAAGGTCGCTAACCATCTAGGACATTAAGCCCCCCTTTGCACTTTTTAGCCAATTTGTGCATTTTGTTGCACGTTTTGGCTTTAGCCAATGGAAAGCTAGTTACGAGGAGGAGAAGAAAGTTGTTATGTAGAAAATGCATGTTATGTGTGTTTTTAGGGGCTCCCAAGTCTATAGGGTAAAAAAAAAAACATGATTCTGCCCAAAAAGAAGCTTGTGTCCTTTTTTGAGCTTCAAGTGATAGGCAACACCATGCTCAGGTATGAATGGCCATCATTGAAAATAATGGCATTCTTCACGTTAAGCATTGACGCGCTTCGGGAAACACGTGACAAAACTCCCAGGTATGAATGGAGGCTGATAACAGGAGATCTAGGGCCGCTCATACATAAGCTGTCTATATGCAGTCATAATCAGCCTAAAATGGCTTATAGCACCCAATGGGCAGCACTTAGCTTTCCAACAAGTGGAAACACAACCTCAACCATCTAAAACCTTGTGCAGAAACAAGCTTTCACCTATCTGACTGTGAAGTGTATAATTGACTACTTTCCATAGACAAGACAACTTGTACTCCAGCTTTACTGGTCCTTTAAGGCACACAGAAAAGTCATAGAAGTGCTGAGGAGGCAATAAAGAATGATGAATGGGTTGGCGGGGGGGGTCTTGTGATTGGAAAAAGATGTAGATTAGGTAACAATGCACGATATGGGAAAATACAACACAACAGGCAATGGGAATTAACACCTCATCACCCATTAAAAAAAAAGAAGGTCGGTCATTTTAAATCCCACCTATCATTTTTCACTGTGCAACCCGGAACATCAAGACGACATTATTTTCAGCAGCAGCGTGCAAGGAGCAGTGAACATGGCATGCAATGAGGAAGGATGCTGCTGAAAAGTAAGTTGGAGGTTGCACAAGGCAAGGGTCTCCCCTGCCACCATTTAGAAGCCTTTTGTCTCTTTTCTTTTTTTTTTTCCCTGACTGCTAGTCTCCGGAGCATCTCCAAATTCAATTATAAGCGGGCGGTTTGAATCTACACGGAGGCCTCTTTTTGAGTCAGCGGACCCCCTTCTCATCACACCAGCATGCCTGACTGCAATCAAATCACACCGATAGGCTGGAGGACCATTGTTGATAACTGTGTTCATGGAGACTGGCTGAGGATGCTCGGGGAAGAAATACAAAAAAAAAAAAGATTCTGGTTGCCCCCTTTTTCCAATAAAAAGAGTAAATATCACCGGTGCCCCTTGTAACATATATGACATTTGCATTGCTTCCTGATCTCCAGTGCACGAAAGGATGAGCACATTGTAGAAAGGGAAGGCACTCACCTACCGGCTGATGCTGCTTGCACTTGTCTCCTCCTTTAAATGGATGTTGTAGGAAATAGCCCAAAAAAGAAAATATCCCAGAGTATGTCTCGCAGATCAGGATGGATGTTGCGGATGGACCAGTGCGTGGATGTGCAGCCTTGTGCTATTGCAGGCTTGCTCTTGTATTGTCTCGCTGTGTGTTGGGTAGCAGGGGCTCTCCTCTCTCCCTCTGTGTGACAGCTCCAGCAGCTGCTTAGCTCCAATGTGTTGTATGTGAGGCTTTGGTCTCTAGGAGCTAGAGCATCAGCTGAGCTCACATCTACCACTCCCCTCCACTCGATAGGATTTTTTTTTTTTTATCAGCTTTATTGAAAAGAAGACATTACCGGTGAACTGAATACAATGTTGCAAATAAAAAAGGCTGTAGCGATGATTTTGTGTCAGTGAGACAGAATATTTCTAAAGCGACTCCTTGTGCTAAAGCTTAGATGAGATTTTAGTGATTGGGGTTTATATACACTTTAAAATCTAAACTTGATTTAAAAGGTAACAGCGGAAATGTATTATTTTATATGAACTGGATACACTGTTGCAAATAAAAAGCTGTAACAATGATTTTGTGTCAATGAGACAGAATGTTTCTAAAGCGACTCTTTGTGCCAAAGCTTATATGAGATTTTAGTGATTGGGTGTATAAACACTTTAAAAGCTTATCTTGATTTGTAAAGAGATTTTAGTGATTATTATTATTATACAGGATTTATATAGCACCAACAGTTTGTGCAGCGCTTTACAATATAGGGAAGACATTACAATAAAATTCAAGACAAGATGGTAAGGAGTGCCCTGCCCGTGAGGGCTTACAATCTAAAAGGGGGGGGGAGTGATACATGAGGAGGTAGCTGTGTGGGGATGAATTGTTTGAGATGTGATATTTCAGTGGTTAGGTTGAGGTCGGATAAGCTAACCTGAAAAGATGAGTCTTAAGGGATCGCCTAAAGGCAGTCAGAGTAGTAGATAGATGGACAAGTTGGGGTAAAGAGTTCCAGAGTATGGGAGAGACTCTAGTGAAGTCCTGGAGGCGAGCATGGGAGGAGTTGACAAGGGAGCTAGAAAGCAGGATTTCTTGGGAGGAGCGTAGGGGACGGTTAGGGTGGTACTTGGAGACAAGGTTGGAGTTGTAACCTGGGGCAGAGTTGTGGATGGCTTTGTAAGTGGTTGTTAATATTTTGAATGTTATCCTTTGGGCGATTGGAAGCCAGTGAAGGAATTGGCAGAGGGGGGGGTGATTGGGTTTATATGCACTTTAAAAGCTAATTTTGATTTAAAAGGTAAACATTAAAATGTATTTTACATGAACCGGATACAATGTTGCAAACAATATTATTATTATTATTATACAGGCTTTATATAGCGCCAACAGTTTGCACAGTGCTTTACAATATAAGGAAGACATTACAATCACAATACATTTCAAGACAAGATGGCAAGAAGGGCCCTGCCCCTGAGGGCTTACAATCTAAAAGGGAGGGGCAAGTGATACATGAGGAGGTAGCTGTGTGGGGATGAATTGTTTGGGAACGTGATGCAACGTGATGTGGTTAGGTTGAGGTGGGATAGGCGGTAACAATGATTTTGTATCAATCAGACAGAATGAGGGAAATTTATCAAAACTGTAGCAGACAAACACTGGAGCAGTTGTGCACGACAACCAATCAGCTTCTCTCTTTCATTTTGAAATCTTAACTGAACAAACTGAAGAGAGAAGCTGATTGGTTGCCATGGGCAACTCCTCCAAAATCTGTCTGCTCCAGTTTTGATAAATTCCCCCCAAGGCATCTAAAGTCACTCTTTGCGCTCTTTGCACTCTTTGTATGAGATTTTAGTGATTGGGGTTATATATACACTTTAAAATCTGATCTTGATTTAAAAGGTAACAATGGAAAATTATTATTTTATATGAACTGGATACGAAGTTGCAAATAATAAGGCTGTAATAATGATTTTGTGTCAACCAAACAGAACATTTCTAAGGCTCCATTCGTACCAGGGCGGCTGTCCTTGTGCGTTTTCGGCTGTACGAATATGCCTGGAGAAAAAAACCCAATGCACTTTAATGTGCATTGCTCAGACTATTGCGGAGTCCGCGTGCAGGCCTGGATTTCCCACAAGGCCACCGAGGCTGGCGGCGCGGGGGGCGTATTGTGGAACCTGGCCTTGGGGCGGCAGGGAGAGTAAATCCGGCCCTGACCGCGCAGCCCCCAGAATAGTGCTATTGTGATAATACAGCAAATTCTGCATGTTCGCGGCTATATAATGGCCACAAATGTTTCCGTCCCATGTGGTCTTCCGCACCGAAAACCGCATGGGAAACGCAAATGCTATATGTGAATAGAGCCTAAAGTGACTCTATGAACTAGATACAATGTTGCAAATAAAAAGGCTGTAACAATGATTTTGTATCAGTGAGGCAGAGGCAAAGGTTTCTAAAGCGACTCTTAATCCTAAAGCTTACATGAGATTTTAGTGATTGGGTTTATATACACTTTAAAATCTGATCTTGATTTAAAAGGTAACAATGGCAATTTATTATTTTATATGAACTGGATACAAAGTTGTTGTTTTTGTCTTATTTGGATACAATATGGGAATTCGGAAATGTATAAAAAAATGACGATGCAGCGGGGATTTGTTTTAATAAATTGTTTCTACAAAGAATGTTAAAATATATATTTTTAAATAGGCCATATAGCTGCATTTAAAGGTAGCAATGGAGCATCATCACTTTAAGTGAACTGGCATTTTCTTGTAGCTTATATGAGATTTTACTGATTGGGTGTATCCCCTTCTTGTCTGGCCATTGTAATTAAATGACGGACGGGTCACACTTGAATGTGGCTGGGCTTTATTTGGATACAATGTTGGAATTCTGAAATGTATATAAAAAAAATGAGGATACAATTAAACGACCAGACAGGTCACTTTTGAATGAGGGTGGGTTTTTTAAAGGTCCTTACCCGCTAGTGCGCATTGCACCACTCGTGCACAAATCGGACACTGTCAGCATTTTAAACAGCTGGCGATGGCTATTTACATACAAGCATTACAAGGCCCTATAGCCACCTTCTCACTTGTATGTTGTATCCCCCCCCTGTCGGTGGCTATTCCGGCCCCTGCAGTCCCCAGTTCTGGTCTTGGGCTGGTGTGGCAATTCTCTAAACTGAGATCAGAGGGAGATCGGCAGACATCCACTGGCTGTTCTCCCCTCTAGTCCCTGAATGTGGAAGTGCCATGTATTACATCACTTCCGCCTTCAGTCTGTGATTTCTCTGGCTTCCATTGCCAGAGAAGAAGCTGGTGAAGCAGATCTGCTTCATCAGCTTCTTTGGGCGTCCCTAGGTGAGATTAGGCATTTAATAGACCCCTGATGTCTCCCTAAAGAAGAGAACATGCAAACTCCATGCAGATAGTATCATGACTGGGATTTGAATCGGGGAAGTGCTAACAACTTAGTATAAAGAAAACCCCTTGACGGTTATATAAGATTTTAGTGCTTGGGCTTATATACACATTAAGGCCGCATTCAAACCTGAACGTTCTGTTCTATGCGTTCGGTGTGCATTAATGGAAACATGGCAAAACGCGAAATGCGCTTACGTTGCCATTCATTTCTGATGGCACCCCAAGCAAGACCAGTAAGGCACATGTTCTTCCTCCATGTTTGCACGTATTAAAACGTGCACAAACGCGGAAGTCAAAGACACAGAAAGCTCGTCGCAAAATTTGCTACATTGCTAAAATATGAGCTTTTTTATAGAGTTTGTCGCACGTTCAGGCACCATTGACCTTAATGGGGACACGCAACAAATGCAGAACACGAACGTGCACAAAAAACACGCACAAACACATGCAAATGTCACGTGCATTCAAGGAACATACAGGTATGAATGTGGGTTAAAATCTCACCTTGGGATAAAATATTATTGCTATAGGTGGCATTTGTTTAGCTTGCTTTAAGGTGTACAGTGTTGGAATTTTGAAATGTATCGACATAATTTGCAAAAACAAAATGAGGGCGTAAGAATTATTTTTAATTAATAAGATGTTTCTGTGAAGAATGTTAAAATATAACTCCAAGAAAAATTTTAAACACCCGCGCTGCAAGGTTTATCTATGTTAAAAAATAACAAAGTTATAGTCACGTGAAGTTCCGAGCCGGTCAGCTGAAGCAGCCAGCTTCCTCCGCTGCAGCATTGGATTGTTTCTCAATATCCTCATGTCCCACACACAGTTTATACAATGTGATGACTCAAGGAGCTTAGACCTCTGCAGCAGAGGGGGAGACTAGTCTAAAGCTGCCCATACACCTTACAAATATATCGTCCAATTTTCGTTTGTGATCGTGTTTTCGTACTTTTTTCCTGGAGTTCTTCTTTAAATTATTATTTTATGAATAGTTACACTGTTCCATCTATAGGTAACAATGGATCAGCATCACTTTATGTTGACTGGATGCAATGTTGAAATTTAAGAGGATGAAACAATGACTGTTAACAAAATTTAGTAGAATGAAGAATGTTATGGCTCATTCACATGACACATACATTGTGCACACCCATTACAATGCATTTTTAAAATGCATCACAGTGCTTGCTTTTAAAAAAAAAAATGTTATACATTTTTATGTAACAAAAGGTGGCCATACACCTATCGGTTTGTGTTCTGAAATCTTCCACGAATGGTCTTTCGAGCGATAATCATTCAGTTGATGGTACACCAATGATTTTATTTACTGTACTCCTGGCTGAATCCAGGCTCGAAACGTGCGAAAATCGATGGATACAAAAAAAGTAGCAGCAAGAACACTGCACATGCGCAACCGAAAATCCGTTCTGTCGATCGACAAAATTCGGTGAGTTAGTATTGCTAATTATCGAAACCGACATTGGTCTGTGCATGATGGGCTATTTGAGCTAGAATCGAACGAGGGTTCTTGGCAAAATTTCCGATCGAAAATCTATAGGTGTATGAAGGGTTGCCACCCATCCGGTTTTCACCCAGACAGTCCGGTTTAGGAATCTTGTGTCCGGGTGTCCAGCCAGTGGGCAACCGGACACAAGACACTCAGTGTCGACATCGGCACTTTAGAATTTTTGACAGATGCAGCTGCCGAGGTCCTCGGGCAGCTGTATCAGCCTGAAACCGGATCTTCCTCTGAGTTGCGGGCAGCCTGTGCGGGCAACAACAACATACAAAGCCATCTACAACATCA